AGTTAAGAATCGGAGATTTACAGTGTAGACAAGATAGTATAGAAAACCTTATCAAATAGAAGATATTTTTAAAAGTGGAAATTATATAACTGAAAACTACAACAAACAAAATTTTAAAACTCACTGGAGAGGCTCAGTAGCAGAATGTATATGATAGAGTGAAAAATCCGTGAACTTGATGATAGAACAATAGATATTACCCAATCTGAAACACAGAGAGAAAACAGACTGAAGGAAAATGAACAAACCTTCACAGATCTGTAGGGTGACACAAAAGATTCAAAATTCATGTTGTCAGTGTCCCAGAAATAGAGGAGAAGCAGAAGGGGTTGAAAAAATATTCGAAGAACCAATGACTAAAAATTCCCCACATGTATCAAAAGACATAAACCTATGAATTTCATAAGCTGAGCAAATCACAAAAGGGATAAGCCCCCCCCCAAAAAAATCACACAGAGACAGATTATAACCAAACTCCTGAAAACTATAGACAAAGAAAAACTTCTTGAAGAAAACCAGAAAGAATGATGTGTTACCAACAGAGGAAACCCTTATGCAAATAAGAACAAATTTCTCATCAGAAACTATGGAAGTGAGAGGAAAACAGCTCATTTTTCAAAGAGGAGAACTGAAAGAGGAGAACTGTCATTCCTGAATTCCATACCCAACAAAAATGTCCTTCAGGAATGAGGAGAAAAAAGAAAATTCTCAAACAATGGCCAAGCATGGTGGCTCATGCTTATAATTTCAGTACTTTGGGAGGCCAAGGCAGGAGAATCTCTTGAGGCCAGGAGTTGGAGGTCAGCCTGAGCAACATAGCAAGACCCCACCTCTATAAAAATTTTTAAAATTAGCCAGATGTGGAGTCAGGCACCTATAGTTCCAGATGCTTAGGAGGCTGAGGTGTGAGGGTCACTTGAGCCCAGGAGTTCAAGGCAGCAGTGATCTGTGATTATACACTGGGCACTCAATTATTGCACTCCAGCCCGGGCAATAGAGCAAAACTGTGTCTCAAAACAAAATTCTCCAACAAAGGAAAACTATGACAATTTTTCACCAGCAGACCTACCCTTAAAGAATTGGTAAAAGGAGTTTTCCCAACAGGAAGAAATGGTAATAGAAAAAGGCTTGGAACTTCAGAAAAGAAGGAAAAACAATTGAATGGGTAACAATCATGGCATATTTAATAAACTGTTCTTCTCCTCATAAAATTTTAAAATTTTATTTGGTGGTCAAAGCAAAAATTATAATACCAGCTGATGTAGTGTCTAACATGGATGGCAGCAGAGGTCAAGTTGTGTTTTTAGACTGAGAAAAGTTGAGAGACACAGACAGAAGTTTTTACACTTCGGCCAGGCGTGGTGGCTCATGCCTGTAATTCCAGCACTGTGGGAGGCTGAGGCAGGCAGATCACGAAGTCAGGAGTTCAAGACCAGCCTGGCCAACATGGTAAAACCCTTCAAAAAATACAAATATTAGGTCTCTTCAAGAGAAGAGACCTAATTAGGCCGGGTGCAGCAGCTCACGCCTGTAATCCCAGCACTTTGGGAGGCCCAGGTGGGAGGATCACAAGGTCAGGAGATTGAGACCATCCTGGCCAACATGGTGAAACCCCATCTCTCCTAAAAATACAAAAAATTAGCTGAGTGTGGTAGCACACACCTGTATTTCCAGCTACTCAGGAGGCTGAAGCAGGAGAATCGCTTGAACCCAGGAGGTAGAAGTTGCAGCGATAAATACACGATTATAGTCAGGAACTTCAACTACAGCACTCTCAACAATTGACAGACCCAAGAGATAGAAAATAGGCAAGATTACGGGAGAACTGAACAATACAAGCAACCAATTGAATCTAACTGGCATGTATAGAACATTCCACCCAACAACAGAATACACGTTTTCAAACACAAATACAGAACCCACCAAAATAGGCCATATCCTGACCTGTGTCACAGAACAAACCTCAACAATTTTTTTTTTTTTGAGATGGAGTCTTGCTCTGTTGCCCAGGTTGGAGTGCAGTGGCACAATCTTGGCTCACTGCAACCTCCGCCTCCTGGGTTCAAGCGATTCTCCTGCCTCAGCCTCCTGAGTCACTGGGATTACAGGCACCCACCACCATGCCCAGCTAATTTTTGTATTTTCAGTAGAAACAGGATTTCAGTGTGTTGGTCAGGCTGCTCTCGAATTCCTAATCTCGTGATCCACCCACCTCAGCCTCCCAAAGTGCTGGGGTTATAGACGTGAGCCACGGCGCCTGGCCAAACCTCAACAAACTGAAGAGTTTAAGTGATACCAAGTATGTTCTCCAACCCACAGTGAACCCAAACTATAAATCAGTAATAGAAAGGTAACGGGAAAATCTCCAAACACTTGGAAATTAAATAACATGCGTCTAAATAATCCATGTGTCAAACAGAAAGTCTCAAAGGAAATAAAAAATAGAGCTGAATGAAAATGCAACATAGCAAAATATGTGAGATACAGTTAAAGCAGTTCAGCGAGGGAATTTTTAACACTAAATGTTTCCATTAGAAGAGGAAAGATCTAAAATTAATAATAGACATCCAAAAAAGAAATCTCCAGCTCCGGATAGTTTCACTAGAGAATACTACCAAGCACTTAAAGAAGAATTAGCACCAATTTTATACAACATTGTCCAAAATGTAAAGTAGGAAGAAACACTTCCAAATTCATTGTAGCCTATGCAGTAGCACCCTCTGGAGTTGTGCAGTAGGCAGCTTGCACAACCGTATGTAGTAGTGAATGTAGGCCATTGTCTATAAAGCCCAACATGATCTGGCCTTGCATCCCAACTTCGACTCTACTTTCCTGGTACCGTGAGTTAATTTCTGTTTCTTCAAGGAGGCTTTGTTTTCTCCTACCTCTGTGCCTCTGTGGTTAGAGTTAATAGTTCCATTTAACAAATGAGAAAAAGAAGGCTCCAAGGGGTTAAGGAACCTGCCCAAGCCTGTGTGTCTTGCTCTCCTTAGGCGTGACCAGTGAGTAACAAACCTGCAATGTTCAGGAGTCACAGTGGATATCAGACTGTCCGCTACTTATGTATGATGAGAATTAAAACTGTCAGACCAGAAACATTTTTTTTTTGAGATGGAGTCTCACTCTGTTGCCAGGTTGAAGTACAATGGCCCGATCTCAGCTCACTGCAACCTCTGCCTCCTGGGTTCAAGCAATTCTCCTGCCTCAGCCTCAAAGTAGCTAGGACTGCAGGTGCCTGCCACCAAGCCCAGCTAATTTTTGTATTTTTAGTAAAGGTGGGGTTTCACTATGTTGGCCAGGATGATCTCAGTCTCCTGAGCTCGTGATCCCCCTACCTCGGCCTCCCAAAGTGCTGGGATTATGGGAGTGAGCCACTGCTGCCAGTCAGAAATACTTATTTCTGTCTATAGCATCTCCTTGGATGAGAGGAAAGATCCCATGGAATTGTCATGAGAAATCGTTGAAGAAAGAACTGGAATTTCCCAAGGTCAACATGAGCAGCACATTCCCCTGTACAGATTGAAAGGCAATGGAGCAAGCTCCACATCTCAACAAGAGGTCTCATTGGGTCAAAGGTCCAATATCCATCCTAATGTTTCCATCCCATGATGGAGATGCTCTTGCAAATGGGACCCAGACATGCTCAGCTGCTGTTGGAAACAGATGCTTGGTGCTGCAAACTAAAATTAGCGCTGAGACAAGGGATCTGTCAGCAAAGCAATATTTACTTCCTGGACTGCAGGAAGGGTACCCTCACTAGCCATCTTGCCACGAGAGTAAAACGAACAAAGAAAAACAGACAAAGTTATCCCGTACACATTTGGGGTTGTCCTTACTGCTGGGTCTGATCTCCATTGGCTGGAGCCAGACCTCACAATTTAAACTAAAACCCAATTGGCTAATAACTTAAGACTTTTTTTAAACAGGTAAAAGCCTCTGGGGTTGTCCTTACTGCTATGTCTGATCTCTGTTGGCTGGAGCCAGACCTCACAATTTAAACTAAAACCTGATTGGCTAATAACCTAAGGCTTTTTTAAACAGGTAAAAGCAATGGCGAGCTGGGATATGCCTGTGAGCATGTCCAGCACAGAAAAGTACAGGGACATAGAATATCCTAAATGCCTGTAAGCATGGCATGTCTAACAGCTACATAGGATAGGGCTTAACAAAGAGTCATTAGCTCATTTATTATTTACCCTTTAACAAGAAAGGAAACTTTGAAGAGGAGCTTTTAATTCCCACAGCTACCATGACCAAAGCACATACATCCATCTGCATGCTAAGAAGGCCTTGCCACAGAAACCAGAAATACGAAGTCCAGTGGTCAGGATGCCCATAAGCGCTGAGAGCACTTGAATGAACTGTTCATTATGGGCCGCTCTGTTGGGTCGCATTCACCAGAAGCAAACCCTGAGAAGGAGACTTGTGTGCGAGTGATGTATGAGGGATGTGCTCCCAGAAGAAACCAGAAACAGAGCAGACAGGGAGGGGACAGAGCCTAGTGAGGGAAGAGGTGAGGCAGTTCTAGTGCCCAGAAGAAGCCCTCTGCAGAAGGTCACAGGTGCAAGCTTTTACAAGACAAGCAACAAGGATCTGGGGAGGGTGCACCCCATCTGTGATAGGGAACCCAGGAAACTGGGTAGGGCACGAACAGCATCCACTGAAGCCTCTGAGACTGCTTTCCCTCCGCCTCCCCTGAAGATGTACACTGCCCTTGGGCTGGATGTATTTATTTACGGACACTCTGTGTGTCTAACATCTTATCAAAGTACCCTAAGAGCGATGGAGGGAGAATGCAATGCCCAGGAGACATAGAGTCCTAGTCCAAATGGGCCCGGAGCTGTATCTTTAAAACAAGTGAAACTGCCCATTCTCATCTACTTTCTATGTGTAGGTATTTGCATATAAAAGCTCTCTTCTAACATACTTTGCCACCAAGTCAAGCTGCAGCTCCCAAGAAGATATGCCATATTTGCTCTGGAGCTCCCTGACACACCGTCATGCAGGACTGCTATTACAGACTGAGACGCTCAGACAGAACAGGTCAGACACCCTCCAATCCTGCCATCCTGGAGCAACGTGGTACCCTGCTGGTGACCTTGATTGTCTCTGCTCCAGCCCATCTCTTGCCCATAAAGGTGATACACTCTCTCATCAAAAGGAAGTCTCAGCAAGGGACAGTGGCTCACACCTATAATCCCAGCGCTTTGGGAGGCCGAGGTGGAGGATTGCCAGGAGTTCAAGACCAGCCTGAGCAATATAGTGAGACTTTCATCTCTACAAATAAATAAAATATTAGCCAGGAGTGGTGGTGCACACCTGTAGTCCCAGCTACTTGGGAGGCTGAGGCAGGAGCATCGCTTGAGCCCAGGAGTTTGAGGCTGCAGTGAGCCGTGATTGCACCACTGCACTCCAGCCTGAGTGACAGCAGGATCCTGTCTCAAAACTAAAAAAAAAAAAAAGAAAAACAGACGATCCCATTGCTTTCATTTTCTAGCTCTTCAATGGTAAACACCTCCCAACAGCCCCCAAATATCTACGGCACCTCTGTAGGTCAGTGTGATATTCTGTATTATTGAATTATTCTGTAGGTCAGTATTGTTATTCCACACTGATGATATTGCCTCTGTGGAGAGCCATTAACATAGGAGGCTAGGGTGGGCACGGTGGCTCTCGCCTGTAATCCCAGCACTTTGGGAGGCTGAGGCAGGCAGATCATGAGGTCAGGAGTTTGATGAGGCCAGGCTAGCCAACATGGTAAAACCCCGTCTCCACTAACAATATAAAAATTAGCCAGGCATGGGGTGCACACCTGTAATCCCAGGCGGTTGCAGTGAACAGAGATCACACCACTGCACTCCAGCCTGGGCGACAGAGCGAGACTCCATCTCAAAAAAAAAAAAATAGGAGGCTAGTTCCTGCTAATGTTTCTACCCTACAGCTGCCTGATTCTCAATAAAGCTGCCACCTCCAAATGCTTTCTGGGCTTTTGTTTTGTTTTTGTTTGTGTGTGTGTGTGTGTGTGTGTGTGTGTGTGTGTGTGTGTGTGTGTGTGTGTGTTTTGAGACAAAGTTTCACTCTGTCACCCAAGCTGGAGTGCAATGGCACAATCTCGGCTCACTGCAACCTCTGTCTCCCGGCTCAGACAATCCTTCTGCCTCAGCTTCCTGAGCAGCTGAGACTATAGACATGCATCATCATGCTGGCTAATTTTTCCTTTTTTAATTTTGATTTGGCTTTGATTTTTGTTTTGAGACAGAGTCTCCCTCTGTCACCCAGGCTGGAGTGCAGTGGCATAATCCTAGCTCACAGCAGGCTTGACCTTCTGACTCAAGTAATTCTCCTGCCTCAGCCCTCCAAGTAGCTGGGACTACAGTCACAGACCACCACACCCAACTAATGTTTCTTTTTTTTTTTTTTTTTTTGAGACGGAGTCTTGCTCTGTTGCCCAGGCTGGAGTGCAGTGGTGCGATCTTGGCTCACTGCAAACTCTGCCTCCCAGGTTCAAGCAATTCTCCTGCCTCAGCTTCCGAGTAGCTGGGATTACAGGCACCCACAGCCACGCTTGGCTAATTTTTGTATTTTAAGTAGAGACGGAGTTTCACCATCTTGGCCAGGCTGGTCTTGAACTCCTGACCTCGTGATCCACTCTCCTTGGCCTCCCAAACTGCTGAGATTACAGGCGTGAGCCACCGTGACAAGCTATGTTTCTGGTTTTTTGTAGAGATGGAGTTTGACTATGTTACCCAAACTGATCTTGAACCCCTGGACTCAAGCTATCCTCCTGCCTGGGCCTCTCAAAGTGCTGGGATTACAGGCATGGACCACTTCACCTGCCTCCTTTCTGAGCTTTATAGTCAAGATACCACTGTCATCTCCCACCCATAGCCCCCCAGCGCTCCCTTCACATCCGTTTGTCTGTCCATATCAGAACGCGTCTTCACACTACATTTCACAGTTCCGCTTTCCTAGTAGATTCAGCACTAATGCTAGATGCTGTGGAAGGACTGGTTTTTGTTTGGTTTGGTTTTTTGGTTTTTGTTTCTTTTTGTTTTTACTTTAGTTATGCTCCTTTTAGTTTCCGTTGCACTCAGGTAATCTGCATGGCCGTACATTGAGGCCAGTTGACGGAGTGATTCAGTGCATTTTCTCAGTGCTCTGGAAGGATGGTCTGGGTTGGACATTTGATGACATTTTTGTTGAAAATGCTCTGTGTTGAAGGATTTTAACTGGTGGGAGTGACAGCTAGTTTAATGGCTGTAACACAATCTATCTGTTCTAGCAAAATTGTCATTTCCATGTCTGGTCAGCAAAACTTCAATTTTATCTTAAAATAAGTTCATTTCATTTCTATTTTAGGAATATTGAAAATGACAGGGATAAATATGAACAAAGAAATAGAAAAATGTGTTTGAGATTAGACTGTAAAGAAACATACTATTTTTCTCAAAGTGATGATTTCAACCAGATTATGACATAAGTGGTTTGATTAAATAGCTTATTATAAAAAGGGAGCGGTTCTTTTGAACTTTGAGTCTCACAGACAAAGCACACCATTGAGAGGTGACAGGTAACAGACACTGTGTTTTTTTGTGTGTTTTAGGCAACTTTTTCCTGTACCTGTGAGGAGCAGTACATGGGCACTTTCTGTGAAGAATACGATGCTTGCCAGAGGAAACCTTGCCGGAACAACGCGAGCTGTATTGATGCAAACGAAAAGCAAGATGGGAGCAATTTCACTTGTGTTCGCCTTCCTGGTATGACGTATACACGTAGCTCACAGTTATTAGGTGTATGTCAGCATGCACTTTTTATTTATTTCCATAGGCTTTTGGGGAACAGGTGGTATTTGGTTACATGAGTAAGTTCTTCAGCAGTGATTTGTGAAGTTTTGGTGCTCTCATCGCCCAAGCAGCATACACTGAATCCGATTTGTGGTCTTTTTATGCCTCACCCCCTTCCTACTGCGTCCTCAAAGTTCATTGAATATGCCTTTGCATCCTCATAGTTTAGCTCCCATTTGTGGGTGAGAACATACGATGTTTGCTTTTCCATTCCTGAGTTACTTCGCTTAGAGTAATAGTCTCTAACCCCATCCAGGTTGCTGTGAATGCCATAAATTATTATTTTTTTTTTGAGACAAAGTCTCACTCTGTTTCTCAGACTGGAGGGCAATGGTGTGATCTTGGCTCAGTGAAACCTCTGCCTCCTGGGTTCAAGCAATTCTCCTGCCTCAGCCTCCCAAGTAACTGGGATTACAGGAGTGCACCACCACACCAAGCTAATTTTTGTGTTTTTAGTAGAGATGGGGTTTCATTATGTTGGCTAGGCTGGTCTTGAACTTCTGACCTCAGGTGATCCACCTCCCTCGGCCTCCCAGAGTGCTGGGTTTACCGGCATGAGACACTGTGCCCAGCCTAATTCGTTCCTTTTTATGGCTGAGTAATATTTCATTGTATATATGTATACTCCACAGTTTCTTTGTCTACTCATTGATTGATGGGCGTTTGAGCTGGTTCCACATTTTCGGAAGGATTGTTTTTTGCCTCTTGAATACTGTAGAAGAAAAACAGATCTGCCAGATGCAGGAGTTCTCCTGACAGCTGAAGAAGTGATGGATGAGCTGGGGTCTCCATTCCTCAGCACATCAAGGTAGGAGGCTGGCATCTGCCACCCACTCTTCTCACCTGAGTTGCTCCGACGTGTAAGATCACACTCCACTTCGGAAGCAGAAAACACTATAAGTCTTCTTGTCAAAGCTGGATGCACAGGTCCATTCATCCAAAGGTGGCATGAAAGGGTGCAGATGGGATGGTGAATTGGACTATTTGCTAAAGGTGAACTTGAAACCAAAGAGGCTGTAGACAGGTGCACATGAAAATTAAAGTCTCATTCTTGCTTTTTGTGGTGGGAAAAAAAAAAAATCCAGGTAGGCACTGCAGATGTGACATTTCATCTTCTTATTTCTTGTCACCTGCAGTTACCCTGGCATGTACCCTGAAGCACTGTTTGCAGTACCTCCTACTTACTCCCTACCTCCTCCCTGCCTGTGTGAATGCTAACAGGTAGCTAAGAGTGCCTGGGACTCAGCAGGTCAGAGTTCTCATCCAAGCTCAGGTTCCAGCTCCCTGGGTCCTGGGAACATCACAGTCATTTGTAAATTCAGTGCAACCCCAGTCAAATTTCCAGCTGGGTTTATTTAAGGAACTGTATGATTTATTTCAAAATTTATTTATGGAGTAACAGGTGACAAAAATCTAAGTCAAATTTAAGAAACAGGGGTAAACCAGGCACAGTGGCTCAAATCTATAATCCCAGCACTTTGGGAGGCCAAAGTGGGCAGATCACTTGAGTTCAGGAGTTCGAGACCAGCCTAGGCAACATGGTGAAACCCTGTCTCTCCAAAATATACAAGAAATAGCCAGGCATAGCAGCACATGCCTGTTGTCCCACCTACTCCAGAGGCTGAGGTAGGAGGACCGCTTGAGCTGGGGATGCAGAGGTTGCAGTGAGTCTAGATCGTGATCACACACTTGTGATGGTTAA